TCTTTATGCTTAGTTGCTCTTGGTCAATGCTTTTAGAAAAGGTAGCAGAAGTTTAGGAAAAACTATTTTGTTCACATGGTTGAAGTCCAAATGTGAAGCGAAATTCATTAATAAAATTGAAGTCCAAAGATTTGGCATGTAAGAGTCTAATTTTTTTGTGAAATGAATTATTTTTAATCTCAATTGAACATATATTGATGATATAACAATAAAAATACATTCTTCTAATCTATTTGTTTAAAAACAAAAATAGTGGTCTATTCTCTATTTTTAAATTGGAATTTGGGATCTAAAGCTTTATATTTGGTTATACTTTTCTAATGGTGTCTTCTTCTCATTCATAATTATTTTAACTAAACATTTACTTTAAGTAATGTTATATGCTTGAATTGCCTACTTCAAAACTAGCATAACCTGATCAAAACCCAAGCTGTAATAGATTGCAACGAGTATGTGCAAACTCATGATAAGATACAAGCTAGGTTGGGCTTTGACTTGGCACCTCTCGAAGGATTTGATAGTCCAAATGGCATAATCTAGAGCCTTAGTGGGACTTTCACCAAATGCAATGCTACCCAGTTCTCAAAATTTTAAAAGAGGAGATTTAGGATGCATTTAGGATTTGCTCTTTGAAGCTTTTTTGTGTAATCATACAATACTTTTATATATTTATGTCTTTGCTAATTTTTTTAAAGTTACTGAAAGTCATAGTAGATTTACAGTATTTTTATATATAAAGCTAGAAGTATCATTTTAGAGCTTTTTGACTGTGATTTTTATAAAAAAAACCTCTAATATTTAATTTAATTACAAAATTACCTATTAAAACCTAATTTTATATAATTTAATTACATCATAATTTATAACATTTTAATAATAATAACAAATCTAAAAAACCTAAATTATTAAAAAATAGTAAATATTATCTATTTTAATAATTCTATATCTTACAATATTTTTTAATTTTTAATTAATAATTAATAAAATTTACTAAATTTCATTTATAATACTTTTAAAAAATAAATAACCAAATACTAAAACAACTTTCAAGTATAACAATAGTACAGCTATAGTTAGAACCATAGTATATTTTACAACAATCCCAAACACACCCTTGGGGCTTATAGAGATGAGAGCATAAATGACCAAACCAAACCCTCATATCCAAAAAAATGATCATGAATGAAAATAGAAGAATATTTTTGTCATTAAATAAAGAAATTAAAAAAATATATTTTTATTATCACCTCATCAAATATTCCTAATTGATATTAAAAATAATCCATATCATAAAAAATAAGACTCACACTGTTAAATCATCAAGACATAAGTTTTTTTTTTTTTTTGTTTATATTTGGATTGTACAACGGAAGGCAACCATCTTCCCTCTCTTATCATATTTTATTCGCATGTCATGTGACTCAAACTCAAAACATCTTACTTCCAGTGAAAAGAGATAACCATCGAACTACTTAAATAGTTAACATCAAGACATAAGATTTAAAATGGATTTCACAAAAATGTGGCATGATATTACATGCTAAATTTGAGTGATGTATTTTAATAGAAACATATGTAGATTAATTTATTACAATATAAAAGTACGTGAATTGAAAATTTTAAAAAATATATAACTAAGTAAATTTTAAATAGCATAAAAAATACATACATTGATTTATTTCATAATATAATAAGTTTGAAATAAATTTCATAAAAATATAACTTGATATAACATCAGTTGTTAATTTTAAATTAATTTATTTTAATTGACAAGTATATGAATTAATTTATTTTAATATGAAAGTACGTGACTTAACAAAATTTTTGAAGAAAGTTGAAGGATGGATATCAAGTAGAGCATGCGGAAAATTATAGGTTAAATGCTTAATTTGGTCCCTTAACTTTAAGAAATGAACATTTTTGATCCCTCAACAATTTTTTGCACTTTTTTGATCCCTCAACTACAAGAAATGCACTCCGTTAGTCCTTCTGTTAATTTGAGCCGTTAACTCCACTTATGTGGCATTTTTTATATTTTTTTTGATGATGTGGAGAGCAAAGTGATGACATGGAGAGCAAAGTGATGACATGGACAAACATTTTGACATTTAATATTATCTTTTAATTTTTTTTATGACGTGGCAAACATTTTGACATAAAATTACTTAACTACCCCCACCCACCCAATCCTTCTTCTTCTCCTTCTTTCTTTCTCTTTCTTTTTTCCCTGCCCTGGGTCTCCATGGCTGCGACGAACCCAGCCTTGCTGGGTTCCGATGAGACCCAGCAGGCTGGGTTCGGGGAGACCCAGCCAAATCTGGGTTTCGTCAAACCCAGATCTGGCTGGGTTCCGTCGAACCCAGCTTGGCTTGGTTTCCCCGAACCCAGCCTATCTTGGTTTCCCCGAACCCAGCAAGGCTGGGTTCCGACGAACCCTGCTGGGTCTCGTCGAACCCAGCCTTGCTGGGTTTACCCGAACCCAGCTATTGGGTTCGACGAGACCCCAGCTGGGTTCCGATGAACCCAGCTTTGCTGTTTCGATGTTGAATTTATGTTTTTTTCATTTTTCTTTGGATTTTTATTTCTAGTTGTTAATAAATTTGAGAGTTGATTTACAATTTGATTGTATTTTTGTTGGAGTTTGATTGATATTGTTTATTTTGTTTATTGAATGGTTAATTTGATTTGATAAGATTTACTAAGTTTGAGGCTTGAATGAAACCCAGTAACTGGGTTCAATTTCTCAAGGTAGAGGAGTGGAGATGAGAGAGTATTTAGAGAGGAAGAAGAAATGGGTTAAGATTGATTCTCTGGAGTGGAGGTTAATTTTGCAGAGAGGGAAGATGAGCAAGGAAGATGAGGTTAATTTTGTAGAGAGGGAAGATGAAAAGGAAGATGACATGTTGCCAAAAAAAAGTCCAAATCAGCGCCTTTTAAGTTGTTTTTGCCATGTCATCCAAAAAAAATATAAAAAATGTCATGTGGCCAAGTTAACGGCAAAAATTAACAGAAGGACTAACGGAGTGCATTTCGTATAGTTAAGGGATCAAAAAAGTGCAAAAAATTGTTGAAGGACTAAAAATGTGCAACTCACTAAAGTTGAGGGACCAAATTTAGCATTTAACCAAAATTATAATGACATATTGACATTAAAAATGTTCAAAACGTTCAATTATAACTTTGTTTAAACAAAACACAATTATTATTTAAGATAGATTTTATTTAAATGATAGTTATGATTACGGTATCTTAATAATTTTAACGTCAAAATCATTCTAATTTTCACTTTTTTATCAAGTAACCCAGAATAGTATTTTCTTTTCGCCCTTGTTCCTACCAGAGCGTTCTGTTTTTGGGATGGGTTCTCTCTGACGCAGCGTCCTCCGCTTCCCGCCTCCATTATCCGTTCACCGGCTTCCACGACACCGCCTTCACCTGGTAAGCACTCTCCTTTTCATTATTATCTTGGTCTATTCTTCATTCTCTTTCCGAAATGTACATTGCCCTTTCTCCCCCTCAAGAAGTTGTTTTTAGGTTAACTTTTGCTTCGACCTTTGCGTGAGATCTAAAATTGGAAGGGAAAAGAATTGTTCTTCTTTCATTCTGTCTTGGGCGAATATGCTGTTCATGTGCTTCTATTCATTTCCTATTACAAATTCTGTGCCGATAATCTGAATCTCAAATTGGACTTCTTTGGCCAAAGTTTGTAACTCCCTGAAACCGCAATTCAGTTCATATGTAAAATAGATTTGGCTATATATTCAACTAGATTCATCAACTGTTTTAGTTGTTAATTATCACTCTTTTGCCATTAACAGCTTCCAAGCAATTGTAATTTGGTGACCCAACATTGGTGGAAGTCTCATCTTGAAAGATTCAGTGATCGTCTGCTTTCTCTGAATTCTTCTAGGTTTCAGGGACTGCAGATTTTGATGCAACTGGAGGGCTTTTGAAGATGCATTATAATGTGACCTAGTTTTCATAAAGCAGGCATCTTTAAGATTTGTGCTATTTATCTGAAGGAAGTGGGTGTTGAATTGGTGCAACTAAGGAGATTTCTAATTCTTTAATGGTGGAGAAGTAAATTTGGAGCTTCTCAGAGACTCCGCTCTTATATTTCTGTTCTCATGTGGCGGAGTAGCTCTGAGCAACGTCAAATTTCAGAAAGACAAGCAAAATCAAGATGATTGATCAATTCATTAATTTTGTCATTCGGCCGCCCAGGTATGAGTCTTACTTAATTTCATGATTTTTGGTCTAATGTATGTTACTTCCGGGCTTATTTATGAAAGCTGTTACAAGGATGTTGATTAGAGCTTGGGCTACCAACTTTCTGCTTAGAATAACTTGGATATTAAACACCTTCCATGTAGGACTCTTTACCCATTACTAACATGTACTGTCTAGGTTAGACTGGACTGGAAATAGGAACTGAATCAACTGATTATTTTGATAAGGGAAGGGTGGCTCCCTATCTATGTGTCTTATTATTCTTGTTTTGAAACATTGTTGCTCTTATATAATTCATTCCTATGCCTTTATGGTTTTCTCATACCTCTGCTATGTGTCTCTTTGGGGCTTGCTTTTCTCTTTATTCAATTTTTAACTTGAAGCAAATTGCAACCTTTCTCGTGTGAGGCATTCATCCTCCCTCATATTGAGATCAGACTGTTCAGCCAATCGTCACAACTTTACCAAAAACATCATTTTGGGCTATTGTAATTTTTTGCCTTACCCTGTTGTGCTTACAGGGCTGACTATAATCCAGATCTGTATCTATGGGAAAGGGACTTCAGTCTTGCAGGGCGGCAATACAAAAGACAAGACTTCGAGGCAAGTATGGATGTCAATTAACCAATTCAGTCACTTCCATTGGCTCGGATAATATGAAACCTGTTCAGAGTTTCATATTAATATCTGATTCTGCTAGATTATCCATTTTTAATATATGCAGCTTACAAATGCAAGGGGCCACACCTTGCGCTGTAGTCATTATGTGCCCTCACCTTTCCCTGAAGAAACTCCACTTCCTTGTGTCATATACTGTCATGGCAACAGGTATGGAATGCTAATTACTTATTTGACAGTATATCTTCCTTTTTTGGTTACATATAGTCTAGATTTTAATTTGAATGATTTTTTTCTAAATTCATACCTTCTCTCTTCTACCTTCTGGAATGTCTCTGGTCATACTCAAAAAGTGCTTCCCATAGAAAGAAAGAGGTGGAAACTTACTTTTCCTATTGCTGATAATGCAGCGGATGTAGGGCTGATGCAAACGAGGCAGCTGTAATTCTTCTTCCATCAAACATTACTGTATTTACTCTTGATTTTTCGGGTTCAGGCCTGTCCGATGGAGATTATGTTAGCCTTGGTTGGCATGAGGTATGTTCCCTCCTGGACCCATTTTATGAATTTAGCCCCTCTTTAAGGCTTTGAGCAAACTTTTTAAATCTCTTTATTTCTTATACTCTGCTGCAATTTTGGACAGAAAGATGATCTCAAGATTGTCGTATCCTACTTGAGAAACAACAAACAAATATCATGTATAGGTCTCTGGGGACGATCTATGGGTGCAGTCACCAGGTATTTTATCTTTCTATCTCTCAAGTTTTCCCAACCAATTAGTGACCATCTATGGGTTCTGTAAGCATTTTTTGTTTTGTACGTATGGCTGTTCAAAAATGCTTGTTCTCTTGATGTCAGTGAAAATGTTGTTGTTGTTTGTATGTGTGTGTGTGTGTGTTTTGCATGAAAAATTCAGGTATCAGTTTCTGTTCTGGCATGCTAATAAGTCTTGGGTAGTTCTTGAATAACAATATATTTACCTTGATGCAATGCAGCCTTCTCTATGGAGCAGAAGACCC